CTTATGCAATTTGTACTACCATGAAATGGCTCCCCTACAAAAGTGCACGTGTGGATTTCCTGGTATCGAGATCTCTAGCAATCTTTGCATTTGTATATCCATCTAGCATAAACATAATATAGATATTCCGTTGAGATACCTAATAATCCATTTTACTGTTGTCTACTGTTATTTGCAAGGCTTGGTAAGAAATCTAGTGACCACATCCACTGCATGTGTGATGTTCGGCCATGTACACCATGACATACATCAAACTACCTTCCGTTGAAGTATAAGGAACATCCTCTATTTCTTTATTTTCCTTTTCATTTGAAAGACTTTGTTTTGCACTTAACTTAAAGTGTCTTGGCATGCTAACTGGCATTGTATTATTCATATTGAACTTTTCAAGTACTTGCTGAATATATTTTTCTTGTGACAATCATGACTTCCTTGTTTTCATGCGTTGTCTTATTTTTACACCCAAAATCTGTTTTCCTTGGCCCCAAATCTTTCATGTCAAAGGACTTGCTTAATTCTTTTTTTAACCTATCAATCTTGTGAAGATATTGCCAACAATTAGTATGTCATCAATATAAAGCAGATGAATAATAAAGTCATTATCATAAATTTTTTTAAGATAAACACAATAATATGCAATAGTCCTCTTATACCCCATGACTCATTATAAATAAGTCAAACTTTTATACCATTGTCTGGGGGCTTGTTTCAATCCATACACACTTTTTTTCAAATTGCAAACTATATGTTTTTACCTTTTATTTCAAAACCTTATAGTTGTTCCATTTAAATATCTTTCTTCAAATCGCCATGAAGAAAGTGAAAGAAAGACCTATGTGATCTTTTACCGAGGAATACATTTTTTTTTCTTTTTTTTTCTTCACCCCTTTCTTATGGCAAAAGATCACTTACATGTCGTCTTTATTATAATAAGATAAATTTTAAAATAAAATCAGCATAACAATGAAACCTAGATCTTACCAACTTGATGCCATTGAAATAACTATGCACTATGCTTGAGAATAAAATATAAGATTGCAAGGAACAAAATGAAGAGTGTCGGAGATTAACTCAATCGGGTTTATTACACCCCACACCGAGTCACCACCATCCGATGGCGTTGGATCAACGGTCTAGCTTCAATCTTGAACCGGAAAAGCAAATTTCGGCCAAGCCACACCAATGAAACATGAACCGCTTTGATCACAAACTCAAACCCTAGGTGAATTCTCTTAGCAACTTAGTTTGAGAGAGATGGATTCTCTTTTTGCTAAACCCTAAAACCCTTAACTATAAACCCATATTTTGAGAGATATGAGATAAGAACTCCATAACCTAAACCCTTAGGTTCTTTCACAATGTGGGAGAGAGATCAAACATGATAGAGATAAACTTTCTTAAGAGAGAGAGATAGAAAGATAAGGTGTATAGATTGTTTTTGGTAAAGACAATCCCTTTTTATAGGCTTTGAATAAGACTAGGGTTTCTTAGGACTTTCTTTGGCTTGCCTCTTCTTGTGAGATTGAACATAGACTGACGATCAATGGTGATTTGTGGGGTGAGAGATCTGAGTCATCTATTCCATAGATGGGCCATCAACATTATGGAAGGTGCATTAACCATTATCTCTATTTCCTAAACTATTTTCCCATCAATAGAAATTAAACAAATTAAATCTAATCAAAATATTGTGCATACCATAAAATAACACATGTCAACTCAATCTTTCCACAAAATCTTTCAAATATATATCAAGTTAATATCTTCTAACCATATGACCACATGTCATATTACTAAAAAATAGGAAAGAGAATAAGGGTGGGGCGTGTCACCCAAGAGAGGCACTCATGGGCCTCACCTTCTAAAAATATGGCGGGTCCATGTGCAAAATGGGCCCCCATGATATTATATTGAAAAATTAATAAAAGGATTTTATAATATTATTTGTATATTTAAACAATCGTAAAATCAATATCTTAATTTTATAAATCCAAAATTATAAATAAATATC